TCTCCTCCACATTAATACCAGTTTCAGCACAAAATAAACATGACTAAACATCCGAAGGTAAGTTAAAAGAAAGAGTAACGCTGAAACGCTCAATCAGTGTTTCAGCCTCGCAAAGACGTCAACATAACGTCTTGTAAACAATGTCACGTAACGTCACATTTACCTCAGAAAAACATATTCAGTGACCATACTCATTAGTCAGATAGAAAAATAAACTGTAGAGAGGGGCATTTTGCTAAATATATGCACCATATAACATATTCATTATACATTTTACTGTTCTTCAATGTTTAATTTATGTTTGAATAAATCCATCAAGTTTTTATGACAGCCAAAATGATGTTTATATTTTTAAAAAATTTGAAGTAGAAATATTATTATGTAATTGTAACTTTATTATTTTATAAACTTCATTACGTGTAATTTTAACAAATCAGTCAATTTTAACCTTCAATATTATAGTAATGTAGTACCAACTAACTCTCATGTATATTTTACAGTATTAGTTGAGAGATTTTTTTTCCTTGAGAAAATTTGGCATGTACTGTACCTGATATATATCCAAAATAATCGATAACTGGTCACACTGTAAAGAATAAAAGAAACTTTATTTTTACAGATTTTTTTCTCTTGACCTTTTGTGATTCTTTTTTAAAAAGACAAACAGTTCTGAGTAAGAAATTATTCTAAGTTCCCATCCCTACAATAGACTAATCAGGTTAGACGCCATATTGATTTTAACACAGATGAAAATGAGGCTATGAGGGATAGATAGCCTTTACAATGGCACGCACTGTCTAAGGGTACTAGATTGCGTAATTTTCACAACTTTAAAAACTATTTTATGGAGTTTTTATCTGCTAAATGTTTTTTCCAGAAAGACATTTCATCATCTGAACAACCAGTATGTTTTAAAACAACAGCACAATCCATTGAACACTGTACTTCTATCACTCAGAGCCTTGTTTTCATTCCTGTGAAAAATTCAGTGTTGCGCTACCCTTACAAAAGTCTATTGTTTATTTATAATAGTAATGTTTACATTGAGCTTTAGTTTATGCCATATTGTTTACCAAAAACACAAAATTAGAATTCACCCGATATACACCAAATTACAATACTGCATGGAGGAATTTCTTGCAAATTGAATGATTTGTTTTATGACAGCAGTTTACTTTGTAGCTATATTACAAAGACAATAGTATGCCTTACAAAATGATGATATCTATGAATCCTACATTTCAAATACTGATGCAGTTTAATACCGCAAAGTTAAAAAAAAAAAAACAGTGCTATCCCATTCCCCAGGTCTTCTAAACATGGTTGAGATCACACAATACACTGCAAAAACAGATGTGTCAAAAACAACACACATGGTTGTGTTGACAGCATTCTGACACATGTTGTGTAGGATTTTAACACACAATGTGTAATTTAAAAAAAAAAAGTCTTTGGACAGATTGACACAATAAATGTGTTATCTCCTGGGCCGGCAGTTTGTGTTTATGGAAATAAATACAATACATATATTTCATATGGTAGCACATAAAAAGCTCTAAAATTACTAAAAATCATTAATAAAATAAATATACAATATATACATCTCAATTTATTAAACGTAAAATATTAACGGCTATTTTTTGTCAGCCAATCACGTCGTGCCTCTTGTCTTTTTAAACTGCGGCGGATCCCACTCTTTTCACTCTGGCTGGTCTGGTTTGAGGGGAATCACTATGCTGTCGGACTCAGATCTATCTGTAAGTTACAGCAGATACTCTTAAAAATGCATAGTGCTGCAAAAATCGACCATGGAAATAATTAGCTACCAAACATTGTTAATTAGTTGCAAAGTGGCGACGTGCACTGAGCAGTATGCCGTTAGTGAAAAGTATGAGCGAGGCAGAGCGCATAACTGGAAAAAAAAGAGACGCTGAAACAGGAAAACATGACCAAACAAGTTGTCTAGCACACCAGATCATTTTATAAACACCTAAAAGAGGATTATAAGTGAACAATTTAACGTGGAGCGTTTGCTTTGCTGCATCAGGTGCGTTCACAATGCTTGTGCTGTTTGATGCGGGTGACACGGCGTGAATGTTGTTTATTCTTTTCGCATTACTTTACGGTATGAGTAACACTGAGCCTTATTTTCAAGAATTTGCGGATGTTGACAGAAGTGAAGAATTTTGACCGATTTCAAGTCTTCACCTCAAGCACAGGAGCCCTACACCAAACGAATGCTGGAGAAGTAACGTAATCCAGGTATTTTGTTTTTGTTCTCATCCCTCTGCTATATGTGATTATTATGTGCATAATAGCGTTTAAAACGTAAAATTCACGGCCATCATGTCATGTAATGTAGCATGTTCCAGTGCCAAATGAACAGGGAGGCCTGCACTCTCTACTTCAAAGCAAAGCAGCAGTGTTAAGTTACCTAAGGAACACAGGCAAACAGGATAATTTAAAGTCCAGGAGTCTGCTTGTCAAAGTTTGTGTCAGTCACTTGGTGGAGAAGGGTGAATTGTAAGTATATAAATTTAAAAAGATATTCGACCATACTGAATCTTACTCAGTGGTGTTTGCCCTGGTCTATCATTAGACTTCTACTGCAGTTTAGCTGATCATGGATTAAGCAACCATGAACGAAATCCCCAAAAAATAAAAAATGAAGGATGGCTGAATAATGGGAGTCGAGTCATTCAGGTTGTTTACAGGAAGCACAGTTTTGCTAAAAGCACCGGCTGAATACAAAACGAGAGAAAGTGTTTTGAATTATTTAAAGCTTGAATCATCATGGTCCAGAAAACCCCAAACTACCACACATATACTTCCACATGATCGCTTTTCTTTTTTGAATTTGGTCCATTTATCAGATTCTGACAACACAGATGAGTCAAACTGGATGCCAAACAACACTGCAAAAACAGATGTGTCAAAAACAACACACATGGTTGTGTTGACAGCATTCTGACACATGTTGTGTAGGATTTTAACACACAATGTGTAATTAAAAAAAAAAAAAGCCTTTGGACAGATTGACACAATAAATGTGTTATCTCCTGGGCCGGCAGTTTGTGTTTATGGAAATAAATACAATACATATATTTCATATGGTAGCACATAAAAATCTCTAAAAATGACTAAAAATCATTAATAAAATAAATATACATCTCAATTTATTAAACTTAAAATATTAACGGCTATTTTTTTGTCGGCCAATCAACAGGGAGGCCTGCACTCTCTACTTCAAAGCAAAGCAGCAGTGTTAAGTTACCTAAGGAACACAGGCAAACAGGATAATTTAAAGTCCAGGAGTCTGCTTGTCAAAGTTTGTGTCAGTCACTTGGTGGAGAAGGGTGAATTGTAAGTATATAAATTTAAAAAGATATTCGACCATACTGAATTTTACTCAGTGGTGTTTGCCCTGTCAGATAAGTGTTTTAATATTGTACATGCTCTGTTTTCAGTTACCCATCGAGTGCTGAAAAGCTTGTTTTTGTCACTACTTTCACATCTTTGCAGGGTCGGATTAAAGGAAAAGGAGATGGATTTGTAAGTAATATGTAATTAATGTCAAAAACAGCCAAATGTGTTTTTTTACTCTGAAAGAACATTTTGGTTGTTGCATTCCTTGACTGTTGTCAGTTGGCCTTTACATTTCTCATGATAAACTAACTTACAGTTTACTACATCATCTGACTCTTTGATAGATAGAAATTAATTAAAAGGTATATTGTTGAGATCAATACTTTGTTCTTCAATTCTTTGTATCTTTTATTAAATCAGCAGTGGAGATGAAGATCAGGCATAGGTCGTGGATATCGAAGGGGACTTCTACAATCTTTGAGTACCCATGCTTCTTGAATATGCCAAGTGTGGTAGGTCTCATTGCAGTTCAGTCTTTACTTATTTTCTTCCGTTACTTAAAGGGATAGTTCAACCAAAAATGAAAATTCTGTCATCATTTACTTCCCTTCATGTTGTTCCAAACCTGTACGAGTTTTTCTTCTGCTGAACACAAAAGAAGAAATGTTATCGTCTGGTCTTGTTTCTGTTAACCGTAAATGTAATTGATGTTGGCAACACTTTTTAATGAATACTGTGGTTAATAGCTAGTGCAATATAAATGCTTTTGTATTATGAAGAAAAATGACAAACATACTATAGATTTATAAAATTAACTGTCATTGACCAATTTAAAATGTTTATCTGTTGTCTGATTTGGAAAGTTTTATCTTGTATCTGACATTTTATGTTACAAGTTAATCTTATGTTATGAGAAATGTTATCTGCTAGTCTTGACTGTGTATGATTTTCAATCATCCAAGGTGTAGTTGATGTTGGTAACACTTTTTAATGTATACTGTATTGTAGCTAATAGTTGTGCATTACAAGGCATTTGTGTCATCTAATCTAAATTAAATTTATGAAATTGAGATTTAGAACATTTTGTTGTGCCTCTGTGCATGCATTGTTCTCTACCCTGACAACATTTTTGACAAATTAAATTGCTAACATTTTTACATCTGTCTGTTTTATTTCAATTTTGTAGAATTACAAATTGATGGCAATGCTTATTATTTTTGTCATATTAACACATTAATTAGCAGTTTTATGAAATTGAGATTTAGAAAATTTTGTTGTGCCTCTGTGCATGCTTTGTTCTCTACCCTGACAACATTTTTGACTAATTAAATTGCTAACATTTTTACATCTGTCTGTTTTACTTAAATTTTGTAGAATTACAAATTGATGGCAATGCTTATTATTTTTGTCATATTAACACATTAATTAGCAGTTTCTGATAATTTTCAGTTACACATAATGTGTTTAAATGACACGTTGTGTGTTAAATTACATTACACAGTAGATGTGTGATTCATCTTAACACACAAATTGTGTTAAATTTGACACATGTGTTGTCCCTGAGCACACTCACCACATGTGTTAAAATTCTGCACAACATGTGTCATTTTTAACACATCTCTTTTTGCAGTGTACAAAAGTGACGGACATCCTTTACAAAAGAACAAGCTCCAGCCTTCAAAGCTGCCACCTTTTTTGTGTCGTAGCAGCCATTAAAAACTTACTGCACCAAATCCCTACGACTTGCACCTTCCTCATGTTCACCAGCCTCGGCCCAGTGCCCAGAGGCAGAGCGACACCATCCACACAAACCTAGCAGGAAAATCCACTTCCTCTCCAGCAGACAGTACTTATAATAACATGACAGTTCAGAGAAACCATAACACAGCCTCATCTGCACAGCATCTACTATAAGTAAGCCATAATAGAACACCAATGTCAGACTGCGTAGCGTAAAGCCAGCATTTGTGGGCAACAGATGGGCAATGCAGCAGGTGAGAGCATGATGCTCATATTCAGCCATCAAATGCTTACTCTTCAATGCATTTCACAGACATCCGCTCCTTTCAATTGTTTAATGTTATTATGATGCCTAATGCTAATTTAATCAGACACAGCATGCATTAATCAGATTTTAACTCCCTGTGCTATACGGTATGCAGATATACCTCTCAATGCAGCAAGCAGATGCAGAGATGGGAAAGACAAGGAGACGGAAAGACAGGATTCCCCTTCGCTGCACGGTACATACACACATATACACTCACACATGGGTGGGAAGCAGGATGAGATGGAGAGGAAAGCAAAGAGAGAGCATCGCCTTGTTGCTTGACTACCCACCTCTGCCGATGCCTGCTGCAGTGTTTCCTGCTCGGCGAGACTGAAGAAGAGTTGGGTGGGTGAAGCCAGATTGCATCCGCTGAGCTTCAGAAACGACGGCGAGAGAGAGAAAGAGGGAGGGAAGGAAGATGAAGATGAGTGGGTTTATCCTCCACACTACCCTGTCAATGTGTGCACCTGTATGGCTGAGTGCATGAGTGTGCGCGCGAGAGGGGGTGGATGGGAAAGAGAGAGAGACAGAAGCTGTGTGTAAGTGCGAGTGAGTCTCCTGAGACAATGCCAATGAATAGAGACTGAGGAACACAGTGTGTTAAATGCAGGGTACCTCCCCCTTACATCACACTAACACCGTGCTCTGCACAGTCAGCGCAACATCTAACCATATGGAGGAACAACGGGTGTAAGAAGGAACAGAGAGAGAGAGACACAAGAAAAGGAGACACACAAACAAATTTAAGCTAGCGTGTTCAAAATGTTTTCAGAAAAACCCACTTCAAAGATGTGATTTCACAGGTGAGGGGTTCTGGAAAGTCTCTACATGTATTTCTTCTGCATTATGTTGGGTGATGCATCTGCTCAGTCAAAGGACACACTGCAGGTGTGTGGTGAAATACACCGGGCCTCTCTTACAGGACAACATCAAACTGCATTTGCAATGCATTCAGCTTCCTCATACATCCTTTTCTGTGGGAAATAACGTATAGCAGGAGTTGCTTTTATGTCATCAGGATTTGACTGGCTTATTAGCCTATTATATTATTGGTTAAAGGTCCCATATTGTACACCTTTTTTGAGTTTTATTTTAGGTTTTGATGTCCTTAAGAATATATATTTGCGGTATAAGTACCAAAAACCATCTCAATATATTTGTACAGCTCCTCTCTCAGGAGCTCTGCTGAGAACGGGTCGATTTTGGTCTGTCTAATTAATATTCATGAGCCTCTCTTCTGATTGGCCTGTTGTTTTCTGAATGACGCACGACCAGGCCAACCACAGGTAACTAGGGTCAGCGACGTCACAGCGCTAGCTGGAGGCAGCAAAACAAAGGGGAAACTGGAGGCGGCCCATTCAAACCAGTGCAGGTTCGGCTACATAAGGAGCTTAAAATATCATCTTGTTGTGATGTTAGGTGCCAGAATCGACGTAATACAGCCTCAAATTAGAAATTTGATCACATATCTGCTACTACTGCCAGACAAATACCGACGACAGCTGTGGTTAAACTAGGGTGACCATACGTGCCATTTTCACTTTAATGGTAAGAATGAATCTGTATTTAATTTTTACAATGGAGTCTACAGAAATTAAAGTATCATAAAACACTGGATGTGTTATTTTACATTTGATTACTTTAATTTCTGTAGTATTTCTTAACTGAATAAAAACTTACTTAACCTGAAAAACTTAGTTTCATAGCTCTCTTTATTCTATTGCATTTATTTGTGCTGTTGTTTGCCATTTTTATTTATTTGTTCTTATTTTATTACTGACTTTTTACTTGTTTTTTTTTATAAAAATAAAACTTTGCATTGAAGAAAAGTAGATTTTTGTTTGTATATGCTGTCAATTATAGTTCTTAGAAAGAAAATCGGAATCGGCAAAAATCGGTATCGGCAGATCACACTAACAAAAAATCGGAAATCGGAATCGGCCAAGAAAATTGCAATCAGTGCATCTCTAGTTAATACAAAAGTATATATGTTTAATACTGAATGTATAACAATTGCAATATGGATTAATTAAATGTAATTTAAACATAACTTTAATTTTGACAGTTTATTTCATTTCTGTATATTAGAAATCTTCCCAAAGAAGAGGATGCTAGTAGGATGCAAGTGAAGAAAAATGGAGAAAAAAAAGTTTTTTAAAGCATGTCAACACAAAACCTCTTAAAAAAATAGCCTGTATCAAATGGCACTACCTTTTCATCATTTCAGCTTCTGCCCTATAGATCATCATCTCATTTTCCACACAGGTTGTATTAGCACATGCCTTAGTATGAGACGTTTGGCTGCAGCTTCAGGGACTGCAGCAATTCTAGCATTGCATTACTGTGTCACTGGTCTTTGGCTCACATCCAGCCATACTACAGCAGATCTGTTTGCCACCTCTATTCCCATCCTTGCAGCATGGAGACCACAAGGAAACGCCTCTACATTTAGCCTAAGTACTGTCCTAAGTGGTGCATTTACTTTGAGTGCTAAATAGGATACAGAACAACATAAGCTTTTCAGCTTTCTCGAAGACCACAGTAGTCTATTAAACATTTGCAAATTCATGTGTATAATTCATATTAGATAGATTAAGACGTTGTCTTTAATGTCTTCAATTCTTTACAAATTATTTAAATCTTTTATTTAGCAAAACTTTTGCAATACAGAAAATCCCATACTTGTTGAAGTATACTGAGAAGTATACTGGCAACCCTCTACATTGCGAGTAAATCACTCGCATATGCGACTAAATCTTACTCTGGGTGACTAAATTATGTCTAATATTAGCCAATGGCTAATAAATTCTCAGATTTTACTCGCCAGTGTGTGAGTTGGAGGCTGAGTATATGATTAGCACAGATATATTTTCACTCACAGAACACTCTGACTGAGCGCTTCAGAGTTTCACTCTCCGCCAAGCGATCTGTGATATTTTTCAGTTCATTTGAATGGATGCGCAGCGTATTTGCGTATGTGTATTTGGCATAACGTAAGCTCTAGTGTGAAGGCGCACGACTCGCTGTCGCTTTCTCTCACACGCGCAAAGTGAGAGAGAGAGAGAGCGAGAGAGCGAGAGAGTCTTACATAACATGCAGAATTGATGTGATACATGTAAACTATATTCTTTGTTTTATTTTCCTGTAAAAATAACTGAGTTCCTTTGGAATTCTTCAGCTTTTAAGAACTGCCGCTTATAGTCTAGTCTAGTATAGTATTTCAGTCTGGCGAGTAAACAAAAAAAATGTACTAGCCAATGGCGATTCAATTGCCAAGGTGTCCGTAGAGGATTGACTGGAAACATACTTCGCCTCGTGTCACAAAAAAACAATGCAGCGCTGCATCTCAAGCTGAAATTACAAGAATAAAGCTTACACATAAAAAAATGCCCTGGAGCGTTTGTCAATACATCTCTGTACAATAGCATGTTCAACACCTTAAACTGTTCTTTCCCTGACTCTAAGATTAAGGAGCAATGCATTCACATTCTCACAATGACAAGGGAGGAATATGTATTTTCAATTCCCATGTGACTGTG